TCGTGGCAGCTAAGAGTATATTCGCGATATCCTTTAACTTAATACAACAGATTGGTGAAGACAGAGAACATCAAAATCACATAAAATCGATGTTCTTCATTATTATAAAAATACGCTACTATGTCACTGACTGGAATCCCTGCTTTTAATGACTGATTATTAGATTCTTATCATTAATTATAATATAATGCCCTGCCTGACTAAAATTTTCAATCGAAATTTCCAGTTCCTGAAAGGGTTAATAATGTTAATGCATAGTAGCAGTTAAAAGTGCCAATTCTAAGCAAAATATTCAATAACTCCTAATTATAAAATTTAAAATTTAAGGCTTTCTTTAGACAACAAAAATAAACGCAGTTTTAAAAAGGACTCAATTCACTAAAAAAACGGATACGTAAAAAATAGCAATAAAGGAAAAGAATTAAACTTTGTTTAAATATTAAGCTTGTACATCAATCTAATATTAGTGTAAGTAAATGACATAAATAGCAATAATTTATAGTGCAAAACACTATATTAACCTAGTGCAGTGTGCGGCAAAAAAATTGGACAGTAAATTTCCGAAACTACTTTTTTTTAAAAAATAAATGCATTAACGAATAATAATAAGAGTAGACTCTTATTTATGAATAAATTTATTTGGTTTGATACTTCCGCTGTTTGATGCAATTCAGAAACGCAAACGATTATTGAAATTTTCAGGTATGGGCGCCGCAAGTTTTCCGTACCCAATTCTTATTAAAGTGGATGATTTAGGGGGACCGTACTCTTATGCACAATGATTGCCTACAGATGAAATGATCACACTATCGATTTCCCTATTTCAGCAATTTTAAAAAAGCATATCATTTGCTTGACATCCTAAAACAACTAAAAAGGCAGTACGTAAATTAAAAGATATATTGTAAAATATTTTACAATTAATTATAATTAAAGAAGTAGACAGAAAGAAAGGAGCAAACAAATTTAAAATAAAAAAAGTTAACTTCTCTTCTATGACGCAATAACTCTGCATCCTTGCCCTAGCCTGTATTTTCTTTCCGTACACACTTTAGAAAGGGAAAAAATAAAGTCTTCGTGATTCAAATAACTGGAAAAACTATTTTTCTTTTAATCCCGTTATACATAAATGTGCAACTTATTGAAATATTTGAACTAGAAAAGTATGTTATATAAGATCTATTTAAAAACAAACGATGAAATAGAACTATTTGAACATTTTATTGTTTGAACATTCCACATTATTAATTTAACATTCAAGTTTTTAGATTTAAACTTAAACACTTATCAATTTTATGTAACAATCATTAATTTGCTTCATTAAATGTTTAGTTGATGTAATGTCTGGGGGAGATTTACGTAGGGAATATAATAACTGAAAGGCAATTTAAGGGGTGTAAAATAACACACGACTTATCCCAATTTGGAGAAAAAGATTGATATTAATGTGCTGTAACGAACTGTTAATGTGCATTATTTTTAAATACAAATTATTTGTTGAATCTTCGAAAAGTAAAAAAAAATACATATCGAGTTATGAGAAAAATAATGTTCTGTACATTTCTCATAATGTATGTATGTATTTGTGCTGATATTTTACTTATACTAAATTCGAGGAATATATATATATATATATATATATGCCACGTTAGAGTATTATTAGCAACCTGCACAATTTAAATAACTATTTTATATAATAACGTAATATTTGAAAGGAAATTCAAGCTATTTAAAAAAATGGATAGTTTCTAAGGAACGTTTTCTACTAAATTGAGTTTTAAAAAGTATTATTTGAATTTAAGTTATCTTTCAGTTGTCAGTTTTCAATTATACAGGAATTTTTATTCAAAATTAGGAAAAAAAATAGCTTTCGTAAAAGTCAAAATTTCAAGAATGCTCAATTTATCCAAATGATATATCAAATATTTCTAAACTCTTTTAAACTGAATCAATTATATTAAACAGATGTATTTGAAAACATTAAAAATTCATTCGATTTCCCTTTAAATTAAATAAATTTCTTTTAATGAACATTTATCCAAATAAAAGCGCATAAAAGAATAATTTATGGATATCGTGTCCCATTATAAAAGAAACCTGCTATCTGAAATAAAATTTCTTTTCCCAAATTTTATTATTTGCAACCGTGAATAGAATGTTCGAAAAATTGTCGCTATGACATTTTTGAGTTTATTTGAGTGAAAAAAAAGGCGTACGGGACACGCTAATTTTCTTCCGGAGCGGCGAGATTAAAATAAAATCATCAAAATGAAAAATAAAAAATTTTAAAAAAAATCCGTGCCTCGCATCTGAATGTCAACTTTTATGGTTGGGTCATACAATCACATAAAGCAGCACAAAAACATTTAAAAAGAAAACATTTCCCGTCTTTAACAAATTTTCAAAGAAACTAAGAAAAAAAAAGCCCAACGGAGAAAATAAAAGAGATCTTAGCAAAAGAAAGACTTAGACACCGTTTTTTTCTATTCTAAATGAATAATGGCATCATTTTTTTCAACCATTTGTCCCGAATCAAAACAAGGCTGTTTCCGTTCCCGTTCGTAAAGAAATTGAGTTTATTTTCTTATACAAACTTTACATTCGTTCCATTATTCTCCAAATATAATCCCAAAGCCCCTCTTTTCTTCTTCTTTTTTTTGGAACATTTTCCCCTTTCTATCCGGTTTGGAATTTTGTAATCAGCATGCGAAGTTTCCATTTCTAATTTCATTTGCTGCTCATTTTAGAAATACTCCATGTTTGACACTTTTTTCTTATGTCCTAACTTTTTGTTGCCATTTTGAATTCTTTTTCTTCTTTCCCCGCTGTATGACTTAAAGAATTGCGACACAAATTAACTATTTTTTTGTTACATGTATATTTTTTTTAACTTAGAGCGCCGCCAAATAAACAAATAAGGTAGTTTGTGTTTTTTTTATCTCTCATTGTTTCCTTTTAAATGTATTCTTTGAATAATTTCCCTTACTTGATTAAAAAAAAGACCTTTTTTTTCTTAGATAGACACTTTTTCTTAATTACGAACACTTTTCAGTAATTGCTCTGTTAAGCAATTAAGTTCGTCGTCTGCCTAAATACTTCTCAGCGAAAATTGTCATAATCCTTCATAGCTTAGTTTAATGTGGCATTTATGTTACTTAGCCTAATTGCATAAAGTAATGCGATAATGTTTTGTGAAATAAAACATTAAAACAATTCTATTGATTCAGATTTAACGAGAAATTTATGACAAAGTATTAGTTAGGATTTGTAATTATGATTACCATAAAACAAGTATAATAAATTTTCCCCCTAATTATAGCAATTTGAACGGTTTTAACTTCCTTTGCGAAATGACTTAAGAAGTTGTTTATAGATTCCCTTAATCCTTTCCAATTTTCTGAAGTCTTGCAAAAATGTTTCAATAAATGTCCGTTTTTGACATGGTGATTGTTTTATAAATAGAGTCATTGTTGTTGCCTAAATCTTTCGGCAAACTGATGAATTAGTTCAATTTTTAGTTTTATCAACTAAATTATTCTCCCTACATCACTCATTGCCATTTTCGTGAAAGCTTGGAGAATTTTTGCTATAATTGTCAAAAAAAGCCTGAAGTAGTAAGAAGGATGAGTTGAAACTATTTTTTTATTTTTATTTTGAGTAAGGTAACTGTATAACAAAAAGCTTAAAATCATTTTAATTTGGTAGAGAAATTCAAAATATAAATTCCTCAGAGAATTTCCATACAAAGATCAAAATACAAGCTCCATACGCTGCTCCATTTGCGAGCTCTATATACGGCTTCATTTTAAGGCTCCATGTACTTCCCCAGTTACAAGTTTCATGAACTCTATTAGTAGGAATGTTAAATATAAAATTCTCAACTGAATATTCAGATTTCAGCAACAACATTAAGCAAAAGTAGTTGTGCGCTATAAAAAATTGTTAGAATTGTAGAAGAAATATCTTTATTAAAGCTTAGTGCTGCATAATTACCTTAAGTTAATGAATCATGATTGAAGTAAAATTTTGTCGAACAAGCTGTTATACTATACGATTTAAGTATCTGACACAATAAGCAAGTATAAAGGAAAAGAAAAATCTATGCATGCTTAAAAACAGAAAATGCCGAATTACACTTGCTTAAACATAATTTGCATTAACATTGTTTTAAATAGTTACACATTAAAAACTTGTGTACTTGGTATAATATAAGATTATTACAGCAAATTTAAATAATTAAGATACATTTTTTCTAAAATTTCGGATATAATTTTTTTAATTAATATGAAAATAGACTGGCTGGGATATCAATTTTATCTTAGCCCATAAAAATTTTACATTCAGTTTTTGAAAAGGATTAAATACATTTGTTTAGAATAGTGCATTATTCAATTAGGTTCAAATACCCCTTCGGTTAGTTACTTGAACCTTTGTGTTATTTGTGCAATAAAATATATGTAGCCTATATAATTGATATTTTCAGCGATAGTAGAAATTATTTAATTATTTAAGCTAACTTCACTGTGAAATAAAATTTCTCCATCAAATATATCTTCAAAAAATCGAAGTCTAAGAATGTTACTAAATGCTAATTTATTTGAAAATTATATTCAGACTAAACTTCTTTGTTCACATACATAAAGAAAGATCATTACAGTATAGTACTGCAATTTTACCTGGCTGTTTATCGCTGCGAGCATTTGCAATTAAAACATGCATGTTTACTGCAGTTTTTATCAACTGTTGTTTTTAATTAATGACCGTCTAAAAAATACTGTTTATGTGAGTGCTTCCCTGAATAAAATTTAGTCTACTTTGTTTATCACTTTCTTCAGTGCAAGTATATAAATCATCTAATCTGTTAATACTATTACTGCCACTTGTGCCAGTAATGGTTTACTCAATGAACTAATCAATATGTCTAAATAGTTAAACCAAACTAACTAAAGCTCAATCCTCCGAGAAAGATCAAACCCTCTGATTTTTTTTTTCTTTTTCAGAACCAAAGGCGTGTACAAAGTATACGATACTTAATGCTTGGAAGAGTGTCTCCTTGGTTAAGAGATAAAGTATTAAGAATATCATTACTTCTGACAGCAGCTTTTGGGGCTCTTTACCTCCGATGTAGAATAATGGGACCGAAACTATTACCAACATTTAGTAGGTGAGAAGGTCTTCATCTTTGAGCATGTTCAAATAAAATATTTTTTTAAATGTTATTAATTTATTTATTTGTGAAATTTAATTCAAAAATTTCTTACTTTTACTACAAGCTTACCCTTATTGTAATACCCGATGAACGAGTTGACTTTGGAAAGGTGTTAAGTGACAAAAATAAGATTTTAAGGAAAGAAACGATTAAGAGTCGTTAAAATAACTGCTAAAACCATACTAGTCAGCTTAGAACCGTTTACTTTATCAGAACAAATGCTCAAGAGAGGAAATAGAAAACATTTTATTTAGATGCTGTTATAAAACTCATGGTACTATGGTTCCAAAATTTTAAGCATTTGACGGAGATATCTTTCTTGCTTCATTACAAATAGGCACTCCATATGTCTTCTGAAATTCTTTCTTTTTCGTGAATGCAGGGAATTTTTTTGTTATAAAAAATTCTTATATTGTTTCATAGTATTTAATCTTTTTCTTGTCCTGATCATGGATAAGTGAGATTAAGAAAGTTGTATGTTGGAAATGTCAATACGTACCAGCTTCATTCTCGATTTATGCGATTTAACTGAATAACACAAGTCATACGTTTAACTCTTTTACGTACAAGTCCCGCAGTGGATTGATCATAAAGACACGGTTCCCAGTAGAATACCGATGTCTAGCATCGCTAACTGTGCCTCAGTAAACATGTGTGTAACCATTTTGATCAGCCTGTGTAGAGACCGAGGGTGTTCGGTGTCGGTCCTCGTTAAACTGTCCTATCGTAAAGTTCTCGATTTCGCGCTCTAGTCATCGGGCTACCAAACATGGGGAATTATCCCCTCTCCTTAGTTGCGATGGAATGTCTTCGGAACGTCCTACGGGATGTTTCCCAGACTGTCGTCAATAGCCCACTGTTCAGCTCTGACATGACGTAAATAAAATACCTATCTTTAACGTACACAATTAGTCTCTGACCCCAATTATTATTGCTAAAAACAATTTTTCTTCGCAATTTCGGTTACAGAAACTCCTTTTCAATGTCAACTCCTCAGTTATTCTCAATAGATCTTAAGCTATTTCAATACTATGTTGCAGGTTTGACAATCCAGCGGCAATTTCTTCAACGCCCACAAGGCAGCTAACATATAATTATTTGCTCTCAGTAAACGCGTGGTTGTTGTTATTTCCTCTCAATCTGTGCTGTGATTGGACTATGTCCACAATACCTCTGGTAACCAGCTTCTGGGACTCTAGAAATATAACCACACTTGTTCTTTACGCCTGTATTTTTGTGGCAGTTCGCACTGTTTTTAGATTAGAAGAGGATGCTAGAATGTCTCTTGTAATGGTATGAACGAAATTAAATTATTTTTGAAAAATTTAAACATATTCTATTTATTTTGGAGACATCAAAATAAAATTTAAAAAGTACATTATCTTTTAATACTATGCTAATTAACGTATTTACTTTTATTTTTTTTCATGTAGTTTAAATTTTCTATTGTGATATTTTAGATTCTATTTTTAAAGCTCCAAAAACCTAATTTAAGAATAAAAATATTTAAAGAGATTTTCCAAACTCTGCTTAAATTCTTTTCAGAAGACTTGCTTTTATTAATTTTTAGAAATCCGCTATGTATAGAAAAATGTCAGGGTTAAATGATATTTAATACTCTTTCAGATTTAAAAAAAAAATAAATAAAATGAAACTTTCACTACCATCTAAATTTTTTGAAATTGTTATTTTCATATGACATATTAGTTGCTCTATTGTTCCATTCACTTGCTTTTGAATCAGATTTTGTACTCTTAATAGGAATTATTTTATGTTTTTATAAAAATTTCGTATCATATTTTCGCCAAATTAATTGGTTTACCCAAAGACGTATATATGTAGTAAACTTTTCGATTGTTAAAGTCTTTTATTTTCTCTTGAGGCTTTATTTTTATTTTTTAAGCTTTTTAATTGATACTTTTTCTCGAAACTTTTTATATTTTAATTTCGTGTAGTATGATGCATGAAATATTCTCAAATTACACGATTCTCGGATGTCTTGCTTCTTAATGCAACTACAACCTCACAACTTAAGTACGGTAGACAATGCTTTTGTTTTCAAAAGTACTTACAAAGTCACCAATATCGTTATAAAGTTGAGGATCGTTACTTCTTTAGTAAAAGGACTTTTCTTTTGACTGTAGTTGCTAATGTGTTGTATAAGTCACCAAGCTATACAAATGATGCCGGATAAAAAAACTAACTGCAGATACATCCGATAAATAATTTAAAACCAAAATTATCACCATTCATTATCATGTTATATCATTGTTTTATAAATTAGATGGAACACATAGACGCACAGAACTTTTTTCATATTAACAGTGAATCCACTAACATTTGCATATTTAGAAAACGTTTTTGTTTCTTCATGCTCTACTATTAATTTTTAACCCTTTATTTCCATTGAGCTGCACAAGTGCGCACACATGAGCAAACCTAGCTCGTTCTCCAGAAGTGGTATCCAATCTTTCAGGACCACCACAATGGGTGAGATACCGTTGCTCATGCTAATTTGGACGTCTAGTTTCTGCCACACTAGATGGCAGCACTGAGACTCTTATTTGGATGCTAAAGTGCACTAGGAATTTAATTTTGCCGGAAATGCCAAGAGCCAATAAGGCACTCCAGGGGTCTTTTACATGCCGCATAATCATACGACATGACCGCTAAGGATTTTCTGCATCCCGAAAATCCGGTGTCTGGGCCGGGGATCGAACCCGCAGACTTGGGCTCAGAAGGCCGACGACAAACCTACTGCGCCACCCAGCCAGCAATTTTTAACCCTTCACGTGTAAGCAGTGCGTAAAATATAAAATCAAACACTTTGCTTTAACTAATCAACAATAACTTTTGATCTAATCTATAGATTTTCTCTTTCTAAGACTCAATCTTAATGGTTCGAAAACCTAGCATTAAACATAGTAATCATTTTATGAAGATGATAGTTTAAATTGATTACGAAATGCGATACGAAATCTTCTGTTCTCTTTTTTCTTACAGATTTGGATTCTTGACCCTAAAAATAGGGAAAAAGAGGTGAGGTTAGCCACAATATTGACCCAGTAGTCTAAGCAGGAAAGTAGTCGAAAATTTTTCCCCTTAAAGTTACTTCACTTTCTGGGTATTTCGGTATACTTCTGGAACTTTTGAAATGAAATAAAAAAAAACTTTTTCACGCAAATATTTTACTTGCTTAGAAAAAAATTATTCCATGTAAACAATTATTTTTTTAAGAATTTGCTATTATTTCTATTATCTAATTTTCGAATGGAGTAAAAAAAATGTTGAAAATCATAAATGTTTTACTCTAAAACTAAAATCAGCAGCACGACAGCCCATGAGGGCCAGGGTCTACTGTATCCATACTGTGATACAGTTTTCTTGACCTTGGGCTCCGGGGTGCAGGAGCAGATGTTCCGGTCAAATGGTCAGCTGAACGTGGAACCCCCAGTGTTTAGTTCCCAAGCATGATCGGTACACATTTATCGACCCACTGAATGGATAAAAGGCTGAGTCACCCTTGCCCGGCCCGAGGATCGAACCAGGGACCTGTGGCACGACAGCGCGAAGCGCTACCGCCCATTTTTGCTACCGCTCATGTTTACGTTCATGTTTTACTCTAATTAATATATATTTTGAGTGGCATAATCTCAAATCAGCCGAATCAGCTGTTTAGTAACTAAGAAATAGTTTTTTTTTTTAGAAATGAAAATTTAAAAATATGAATCTTTAAAGTAGAGAAATATGCAAGATGTTGAATTAACACTGAAGAGCAACAAATTTCGATCTCATTCTCTGATTAAACTTCAGACCATATATTCCAAATAAAATAAAGTAAAACATTTTGTTTCAGAGGAAGCAGGATTTCCAGTCAGATTTCGTACTTTAATGTATCTTCTGTACACATCTAAGAGAATGTTCAAGATCTGTGTTAGTTCGTGAAAATCTGATTATTAGATCAACGTGCCCAATTTTTTTTTTTAACCGAATATTTTGAAACTAAGAAAATAAATATATTTGGTGCCTTTTACTGTCTAAAAGAAGATTACTAGTCAAGTGTTGTACCCTAAAAATCTGATGCGGGCATATTATTTCATTTGAAAAAAATCAAAGCATTTTGCATGCTTCAGAATTGTAAAACATCATATAAATATAGAAACTCAGAAACAGTCTTATAAACAGCGAGTTTTCCGTTCTTTTCTTTTCTAGAGCTTGTCTTTGTTGACGGTGCCCTTCCTACCTGCAAGCAATCTATTTTTTCCAGTAGGTTTTGTAGTAGCTGAACGGGTTCTTTACATTCCTAGTATGGGCTTCTGTATGATGCTTGCGCAAGGATGGAGCACCTTATGGGAAAAGAGGTAAGTAGTGAGATTTTTCTCCCATATTTTAAAAAAATATTTAAATGTCATTTTAGTCTTTGAAAAGTATTGGCGTATTTTGAAGTAAAAAGTATTCGGATTACATTTATCAACAAAAGATATATAGTAAAAATTAATTACTTTTAACAATTACAACATTGTAAATGTGCATGTGAGTGTATGTAGATATTTTTAACAAATAAAACAACGAAATAAACTTATGTTTCATCAACATCATCATAAACTTATGTTTCATCAACAGGTTCTTATGCTTCATCATTTATAGGTTAAGTATAATGATCCGTTACAATGCAATTTTATTTTTCTTCAGTTTATACACAATTGCTTGTTAATAATATCAAATGGAAAACTCTTAGCACATCTCACCGTTTGCACTGAGCTTATTGGTAAATTTAACGGTTTAAAAAAATACGAACATGAGTATCTTAGCCAAACCTGATGCTTAGTAATTCTAAATGTTTTTCACTTTATAATGTGGATAAAATATTTTCATATTTTCCATTTTTGAGTGTGTATGTTTAACCTTGGCTATTTGCCTAGAGAAGGTAGTGAAGTTTTACCTGCAATCTTGTAAAGTAACAGCCGATTGTGGGGCAACAAAAGAATGAAGGCTACATATTCGTGGTCAACGGCGTGATTAGGGCAATGTGGTCAGTACTTCATACCGACCACCTTTACTTCCCAACCAGGGATGAGCTCCAAGCCTGAATAGGGGATCGAACCTGAGTTCTCAACCATGAGAACTCAGTGCCTTAACCAATAAGCTACCGTGGTTTTTTTAATTAAGCATATAATATAGTTAGCATAACACTTTAGTCACCTATCGACATCTAATTGAACCGACTATAAGTATTGGGATTTTCATAAGTGTTTTGAGTATACAAATGTATCTAAATAAGCAGTTGGCTACGTTTTTATCTTAGAATGGGTGACTTTTCAATTTTTTTCCCAAATTTTTTTCTGGTAGGTCACATCACTTTGTTAAATTACCTTAAATTATGTTGGAAAAAAGTATCTGAGAAAAAAAGTATCGCCAAATTTTTTAGAATATTGTAAAATTAACCTTGTTTTTGACTCTATGAGAACCCCAAAAAGCTCGGTAATTTTCACCGAACAGCTTCAGTGGGTATTAAAAATTACAAATAATACATTGCTCCATAATATGCACAACGGTTTGCTAAGTGTGGAAAAATTTGATAATTTTATCATAATACCTTAGAGCACGGCAAAAAAAACATTTGTTCGGCTTAATTTTCTAGTCAGTTTTGTATTTTTAACTTAACTGTTCATTACCATAAGAATGGAAAAATTACCAAATGAATTGATTAAATACCGTATATTTTGGTATTATTAACCAAATTATTGTTTATCTTTCACTAGAAATGTCAATACCATACATTACGGCAATTTTACCAAAGTACGGTAGATTTTTTCTCCACGCAGAAGATAAAAATATTATGCAAATGGATAATCCAATATATCTTAGGCTAAATCGATGGGTGACCAGCAGTTCATAGATAACTGGTCTCTATTTTTTGTTTCCTAAACATTATTCACTCGACTAATTCCTTGTTCACTTGACTAAGTTAATTGTTGAATTTAAATAGTATGGAGATTACGCTTATATTCTATTTATATTGAAAAGAGCTAAATATCGTTATGAGTGCTGCATCTGGAAAACTAGTCATGGAAATTGTACAGTCAATGCAAATGATAACGTGCATCGCTTTTTACTTGTAGTATTTGAAATAAATTGCAATATAAATGAAGAAACTTTAAAATAACTCAAGTTTTATCAGTTGAGGAATTATAAAGTAGCCAGACATACGACATTAAGTTAATACAGACTGGATAGTTTTTAACAGAAAAATCGATCTTTCTTATGCAAAATTTTTCTCTGCATTGAAGTTGACTCAGAAATTCGATTTTCTATAGTCCGGATTTTATCTGAATTTACCCACGTTGTAGGAAAACTAGTCGAAAAATATTTCAGAAGAGAACTTTGTAACAAGTATACTGAACCTAAAACTGCAAAAATATCATAGCGTAAGAATTTCCAATAGATCGGTAAAGAATATTGAACAAGAATTCTTTCGTTCGAGAAGAAGAAAAAAATATCTTATGCAAAATAGAACTACTATACTTTTGAGTAAATCTTTTCTCTGCAGTTTCTTCAAAAAGTTTAAACTCTAAAAATTGTACAATTTACTTACATTCACTTGAAGGTTTTTTTGTCATGCATCATTATTTGCTTTAATATTATTTCAATTAATCATTTCAAATAATTTGTCATGGTGGTATTTCATGCTTTTTAAATGATATTCGTTACATGATTCATGATTCTGATTCTTTTGAAAAATTCCGTTCATTATTCAAAACTAAATTTAGTACGTATTAAAATATAAATCATTCAAAAAAAGTAAAAGTGAAAAGGCGTTACAAATTGTTAATATTTCAAATATATTTGATTTGCATGCTTAAAAAATTGTTGTTGAAAAACGATTAATGTTTTTTTTTTCAAGTTTTTCCCGTGGAATTTAACCTAAGCTTTATAAAAAATAAACAAATATTTTTTTTTTATTTTTAAAAAGTAAAAGAATTTTTATACGCATTGCGTATGCAATAAAATATATTACATAGTAAAATTATTTATGTTTCTCAAACACTTTACTATGATTTTTCCCAAAACATAAAATAGTCATTAAAGGGATTGGATACTCCAAAGTTAATTATTTATTATTAACTTTGGAGCTTAACTGTTATTATTACTAACTAACATTATTTATATTTTGCTTTGATTTAGTTGTACACTTATTAAAGATATCAAGGAATTAATTTTTAGCTTCAATGCTTTACAGTGACCAGATCATTGGATTTCAAAATCCATTATTTTATTTTAACCATTATGTAATGAAAAATAGTGAAATTATGTCTTACTTTAAGATTCAAGGAATTAATTTTTAGCTCCAATGCTTTACAGTGACTAAATCATTGGATTTCAAAAGCCATTCTTTTATTTTAACCATTATGTAATGAAAAATAGTAAAATTATGTCTTACTTTAGGATTTTTGTTCATAGGCCACTACTATTTTAAATTCTGATATTAGTTTCAAAAATGAATAATATTTGCTTATTAAAAATAAAGTATTATAAGTCTGCATAGAAAATTAAAAAATGGTATAAACAAAAAAAGCTAATTAAAATGACAGAAAATGCAAAATATTTTTAAAAATTAGTTATTTTCATTGCGATAATGCCTGTGAGTAATACAGAAATCATTTCATTAAAATTACAAAGGAACTTTCGACAAACATATTTTAATAATACTTTCAAATTTACTTAGAATATGTTTAAATTACGAAAATGCATTATTTTAGGAAAAACTGAGTTAAAAAAAAAAGTACCGTCGCAAATAAAAATATTCTACAAACTAATTTAAATGCATATATATTTGGTATTTTTGCTTAAAAATACTGTAAAAAGATAAATACTATCTCAAAAGCAAATAAATATCTTGAATTATCTTCTTAAAAAATAGTGAAACGAACACAATGAAATCCAAATTTTTCGAGATTATTTGCATTTATCAACCCATCTTGACGTAGATCATAAATATTTATTTAAAACATTACCGTCTTTTCATCTAATTTAAAATTCTTCTGATGAGCTTTAGAATACGTTGTTTTCTCGTTGCATTGTGAAATGTACATAAAATATGCAAAAGATATGAATATACCGTAAGGTTTGTATTTAATTATTCAATAAACTGAAATATGTAAGTAAAACAAATTCTTTAAAACTTTTATTCAAAATTAGATGTCGGATGCCATGACGTGTTTATTTTTTATACATGGGCACCAGAAATATGTTCTTTAATAAAATATTCCTGAATGTAGGAGCCAAAAATGATTTTATGTGTGTGTGTGTTTTAAAGAAAAGAGTATGAATGTAAGAAAATATTTAAATTAACTTTGAAGTAAAGTTACAAAAAAGCACCTTTGTTTTTGACACGTTGGTCTTTATTTCTTACCTAGGCCTTAAATGATATATATATATATACAGTATCAAACATTTACTACTTTATTGAGTATGTTACGTCAAAATACCCCCATCAAATTGTTTAGAACAAGAAATATGGCTAGTTTTGATAGACATAATGCAAATCGGTCCCCCAAGACTAGGTGTGGTTTCTGTGTATAAAAGACAAAGCAACATTTAGGTAAACAGTGAAACTCGATTTCACCCTCCTTTCCTCCGCATAGGGTGGAAAAGGGTTGGGGAGGAGTTAAAAAATTTTCTCTTTTTTTTATTTATAATTGGTTACTTCTGCATTTTAGAACAATTTATAAACATTACTTTACTATTAATTACGATATTTCTTTGAGAATACATTTATATCATCCTTGTTGAATTAATCTAGCATATTTTGAGATGGAAAGAAAGAATAAAATGGCGGTTAGAGAGAGAGACAGCGTACGCAACCATACGTGTTGAAATGTCTAACAACTGGTTCACAAGTGACGAATCTCTTGGCTGTCACTTTGCTTCTTATGCGCATGCGCTGGATTATATATAAGATACTCTTCTATATCTGAGTGTGCTGCTCTCCCTGTAAGGTGCTTCTCTGATATAAAAAAACAGCACCGAGCAGTTACATGCGTCAGCTACTTATTGACTACGTATATTCTATGGTTTAGAATGCGTAGTCATTTTGTTGAAAATCTGACGTTTTTAAGCCAAGAATAAAACGTGATAATTATTTATATATTTTGTCTAGCCACTACGATAATCAATCTATGTAATCCCTTCTGAGTGTGTGAAACAGAAATAGTATTATATTTTACAGTTCATTTCAGTTATTAAATATAACAACGTATTTCATACACTGATGGCAGTATTTATAAGGCCTTGTGGTAATTCACAAAACAAATGCCGATTCACTTAGCGATCTTAATGCCATTTTACTTATCGATTGAAA